ATTTGATTTAGATTCATCATCTGAGACTCTAATCGAAGCTCTGACACATGATACAGTGCAGGATTGTTTCTTTTTCTGTGAAATATTTCAATGCATGCAGCTGGATCCTGTCAGGACAGCAGAGATTAATATGCGGTGCATCATTTGCTACAAAAATGTCAATTTGTGAGATAAGAATAACATTTGCAAAAATGCATGTTGACATTTACCAATGCATGCTGGTATGGGTGGAGTAGCTTTCTTACCATGTAAACGTGGGTTTAATGAATGTTTCCCTCTGCTTCATGTCAGTACCGCGGGGCAAGGCATTTATGGGTGATTTAGTGAATGCATTAGGTTAAATGGGGCTCTAGCGATTGAATTATTATTATTCAGTCCATTTCCAATTCAAAAATCTAAATGGGGTAATAGTAGCCAACACATTTGTGGCATCAAGCATCATGTACCCATTCTTCATTTACAACTATCACTTAAAACACAGGTGTCAAACTGGTTCCAGAAAGGGCCGTGTGGCTGCAGGTTTTCTTTCCAACCAAGCAATAGCACACTAGACTCCAGTCATCTCATCAAGTCATCATGTTCAGATTGGACTCACTTGAAGAGATGACTGGAGTCTAGTGTGCTATTGCTTGGTTGGAAAGAAAACCTGCAGCCACACGGCCCTTTCTGGAACCAGTTTGACACCCCTGACTTACAGTAAAACAAGAATAAAAACTAAGAGTTAAAAATAATTTCCGTAATCCCTACACGTCAAAGAATGTTTATTCAACCCATTACACCTATATCACCTGAAAGAAAATATTATTTTCTGTACAAAATCTCAAAGATACATATGTATTATTCATTTTATTGTTAATTAACATTTGTTTTATAGTGATTCAAATAGGTGGTAGCAAACATTCAATCTGAAATTAGTTCTTTTCAATTCAGAATTGGCTGGTGAAAGCTTTGTGGAAATTTTAGACTGGAATAAGATCATAAAAATGCTTCTCTGAAAGCAAAGGATCTTTGTGTGGAAATATTTAACAGCGTTTTCAGAACTGAGTGAATAGTTTTTTGGTACAGAAGGTTTCTCTCCCCAAGAACTTAAGACTATTGATTGATAGATGATTGTATAAAATTAGAGAATTCAGATGAGCTAATATTTTGAATGCCGTATTTTCCTTTATGAATATTTTCCCTTTTCCTTGGCTATGATCCATTTCAGGATCACAGCAGCTGATTACAGAATTACAGGTCTACTGTTATTGCCAACAATAAATCCAATTAAAAACTCACCCGCTAAAGATCCTGACAGATATTCTACTGTTAAAAGATAAGAACTAAACATGGGAATATCGCACGAGGGAAGCAGCAGAAAGAATCCAAGACTTATGGTGGCTCTACTATACAGCATCAATCACACTCTCTACTGTTCATCCTTTCTCTGCTTATACATTTTCCTAATTTCCTTTCTAATCTTCTCCGCTTGTCCCAAACAGTACATTAAATTCCCCGATTCAGGTTTGGAAGCCCACATAAAAGTTTGCATGGACCACCTAAGATGATTCACTAATGTCCTTCCTTTAACTAAGTGTAGGGCAACCGGTATCAGGTCGGGTTTGGTCGCACCGTCCCCGGCTGGCTCCGTCCCCCGGCGGACGGGGGCATGAAGGCAGCCGGGGGACGGAGTTCTCTGACCAGCCCCAGAGCTGACGGCTCAGTTCGAATGCCCAAACCCAAATCTGGTCACCCTAACTAAGTGTATTTGATGCTGGAATGAGTGGGGTTCAACTCCTGCAAATAACATTAGCAATTAGCTTAATTTTGTTTTGATGAGACCTTAAACGCTGGCTAAAATTGAAAACAGAGTTTCGTTAATGAGAGAAAGCCATAACTTCTAATACATATAGTATTGGTGTGTCAATAAAAGACTGGCTGAAGTATATACTTCATGTATAAATTAGGTTAATGTTAAGATGAGAAAAATAGAGTTTAGAAATGATCTGATTTGGGTACCATGAACAATAGCTAAATAAGGATTCCTTTTGTATTACGTCAGTAGACCTTCCAATTATCTGTAATTCCATGTGGCTAATTAAAAGGCAACTTTTTTCCAAGTGAGATTCTTTGCAAAAGTTGGTTTGCAGGAAAACAATTAACTTTATCTTTAATACATAAAAACAGTGGAAACTAATCAGATAGGTTAGTTTTACAAATTTGCTATCAAACTTTAAAATATAAAAGTGCTTATTTTAATTATCAAAATAACAGCTCCAGAGTTTCATAGTAATGAAGCCAATGCGGAAACTGAATTACCTGCCCTCATCTTAAGAGGCTTACCTGTCTTCAAAGTAAACCAATCAGCTTTGAACCACACCCCCACAAAGCCCAATCATCATCCAGAATTCATTTTAAAAGGTCTTGATTCAGGCCTTTAAAAGGACCCTGATTCAACCCACCTCCATCCCCTTCTCCAGTAGCTAAGCTCCATCTGGCTTTATCAGATGGACTGGTTCATACAAACCTGTGTTTATGCAAGCTGGATATATAGTATATCTTCTGGGTCTCGAGTGAAGTACTAGTATAAGCTCACACTGTTTGTTTGTTTTTTTATAAGCACCATGAAAATCTTTATTTCTATATTTCAGTCATGACAAACTCCAGAGGAATTAAGGTAATTTAATTTTTACAAACATTTCTAAATTAAATAAAAGTATTTCTGTGGCAGACCTGTCAGTGGCCATTTATGTACCATATATGAAATTCTGTTATAAGAAAAAATTCCTTTGAAACAAACATTTTGCAATCTAGTCAAGATCTTTTTTCTAAAATTTCCGAACATGGACTCCAGCAGAAAATTGCTAAGTATTTCACCATGTATTTGTAACCTCAGTATGCTGGATATAAAAGCATTTTTGAGATTGCCCCCCAGACCAGGTAGAAGTTACAGCTTGTATACCAGAGTGCTTAAAGTCAAAGAAAAAAGGGAATAAAATTAAAATAGACCCATAAATTGTCTGTAGTTTCTGACACTTTCAGTTTTCTCTGATGATTTTTATACTTTTGCTGTAAAATGTTTTGAGGACATACAGTATTTTCCCAAAAAGAAATCAGGGCAAAAAAAATCTCTTGGCAGACTGGGCACAAATTCCACCCAGAATGCAACATTAAATGAGTTTATCAGAAGCTTAGTTCAAACATCAAAATCAAGCTGCTTTAATGATCTGCATTCAAAAACATTTACTCATAACATTTATTTGATAAAGCCTTTAAATCCCACTTTAGTTTTTCATATAAATGCAGATAGAGATGGAAACAACACTGATCACGCATCATCAAAAGCACAATACTGCAGTTTGATGTGCAGGATGTAAATGTCTTTACTAGAAGAACCCATGCATGTAGATGTCTATAGAGCAGTAAAATGTCTAGAATATGTGCCCTGCACCTGCATTCAATCCAGCTAAGTCAATACTATGCAGAACAATTTTTCCCTGCAATTAAGGGAAAGAAAGAGATGGGCACCGACCAAGAACAAAATATTGATTGGAACCAGTTATAACATTTCAGTTCTCTGGGAAATATTCATATTTTTACATTTTCGATTCCTAGTTTCAATTCCCAGTCAGCTGACTGGAAGAAGACACAGAATACAAACAAAGAAGAATTTGAAGTATATTTACAACCATCTGTTTGTGTGGCAGCATTGGAAACTTCTGCTTAACATTAATTCCAGACATGACCAGTCAGCTATGTACAAGATAGGGATTTTATTAAGGAAAGGAGAACTGACAGCCAACGTGATTGAACACCCCAGGAGTCAGAATGAGATTGACCCATCTTTGACCCACTCCGATGGTGTTGTGTTAAGGTAAGTTCCCTTAGGGACTTCAGTTCCCCTGGACAAGAGCCCACCTTCTGCAGGAAGAAGAGATCTGTTCTAACAGTTTTCTTCATTTTATATCAATTTAACAGATACCTGTCTCATTTCCTACACAGTCTACACATCCCAATCACTAAAACCTAGAGCTATCAGATTTATCAATAATTCTAAGGGTAACTTTATTCATTATTCAGGACATTTCTTTTGGTATATGTTTCTGAAATGTTTTTAGTGAATGACAGCATGCTCGTAATTTCTTTGTCCACAAAGTTAAACATAACGACTTCCACATCTAGTTGAGTGGATGGGGTAGGGTGGAAAACGCAGGGGAAATCTTGAAATTCCTTCCTCGGCAAAACACCTTTTGAGCTGCTTTTCCCTTCGGCTCTGACTCTCAGCCTAACAATGCACCACAATCAGAGTCAGGTCAGTAAAATAATACACATAGTCTAATGTGGTTTAAGAACCTGCAGGATTAGACACTGGATATGATAAATGTATTTTATTTAGGTTTATTTTATTTATTTAAGTATTAACTCCACACAAATATGGAACCCTGTGGAAAGAAAATTCATGGTTTTACATTAGACTTAATAGGTTTGATATTTATTGGATGAAAATAAACATATGGCAATGTATTATAAAGTTTTTATAAAAGATAAAAAAATTAAATAATGCCAAATCTTACCAAACGATCCATAAAATAGTTAAATAGTTAAAAAGCCTTTATTGTCATCATATTCTGCAACGGATACAATGAGATTTTTGGGACTTCCATTTCAGCTACCGTGAAATAAAAAAATAAAAAATATAAATATATTAAAAGGAAAGGAAATGTAAACAGTACTGGCACAGATTGTGGGTCGGGGAATAGTGCAAAACAAGTGTAAAGTGACCGACAGTGCAGGTCGGAGTTGAGGGTGGCAATGGCTTGGGGAATAATGCAAAACAGGTGAAAAAGTGCACCACATAACCAGAGCCATGGAGAGCTAAAACGTACGGACTACGGATGAATACTCAGCTTCATCTGCATCATTTGCCTTTCTGCTCTGCTGTTATTTCTTTATGACTTTGAAAATGACTAGCAGGCCAGCTGACTTTGAACAATTCCTGTTTGGGTGGATAAGGCTCTTACCTTTAAGGTGGTAGTCCACAAAATTGTTAGAGGAGGCCTGCAAAAGTGCCGACCTGCGGTACACCACATGGACCCTGCCTTTATCCTCCATCTCCTGAGTGCCCTTCTCCAGCGGCTCAATGAAGTACTCGTCTGAGTCGGTGCGGATCATTCCAGCCTAGAACAGAACACCAGGTAGATTTCAGTATGCACTGTAAAATATTGAAAACTCAATAAGCATTTTTTTTTCTTAAAATAAGCCTAGTTTCTTCTACATGAAAGTGTTCTTTTCTTAAATTCAGGTGGTATGTGAGACAGTTTGCCAATGAAACATGACAAAATGTGATTAAAATAATAATAAAAACAACTGCATTGTCTTATTTCAAGTGCATATTATCCAATTATCTTATTTTGAGAGTTAAAAAAAACAACTCATTCCTTTGGCAAATAATCTTATTAACCTGCTCAAATTAAAGCTAAATACACTTAATTTAAGACATTCATACTAATTTCTAGATGATTTTTGCAGTGTAAAACCCCAACACATGCTTGTTAGAGAAAATACAACAGATCTTTATTTGTCTATATAAAGTTAGGCTTCAAGATCTTGTAACTGGTTATTGTAAAGAAATTATTTATATCGAAAGATCATGTTTTTCTTCTTCACATATGTTATTGTGAAAACTAAATGGATGTCTTCTTTCTATATTGTTAGATATGTATCCATACAACACAACACAACACAACACAACACAATGACTTCCCCAGTTGAATATTAATAAAATATAGGAAATCAAGAAGAACAGATGTGCTAATGCAGTATTTAGTAATTTATCCAGAGCAAAAAATATGCACATCCACCACAGCAATGTCTACGTCACTCTGTTTACCATTGATTTTGTGTTTCTTTTAGCATCTTTCCATCTGTCTGCCATTATCACCTTGTTACCCAAAAACCGCTGGTGGCGATCAGAAATCCCAAGCATCATTAGAGGTACACTGGAGCAAACATGCCCGATGATGGCTACCTGCAGCCTGCAGATTTCCTGCAATAAGAATCCAGCCATGCTTCTTATTTAGAGCAGAAATATAAGGTTCCCCCTTCTAAGTGAAGTAGTGTAAAAACTGGATGTCTGACCCATTAAATCTAAACGATGTGCTGAAATCGGTGTCCTGTCCGTAAACTATATTTAAACATCAAAAGATGCTTTTTTCTGCTTTTATTTAATTTAGAAAAAGGCCCTTTATGTGCGTTTAGAGCAAAAATAATGATGATAATAATACAGAACCCCTTGTTATGATGTGTAAATCTCCTTCATAATATTTATGCTATATTGTTGTAATGTAATCTGAAATGAAATCATCAAAATCCAACATTACATTCAAGCATTTGCTCAGTGGAGGGAAAACATAATCCCATACGACCCAATAATTGTTTTCCACAAAGTCACTGTAGCCAAACTTTTTAAGCAGCCCCACTGTTATTACTTTGAGTCAGTAATCCCCTTTTGATATGATGACTTCGCTCAGAGCTCTCTAGTAATATTTCACAAGGTTAGGAAACACAAAGATACTTTGAGAAAAGATTCTCCAGAACAGTGGCTCTCAAAAATTTAAGAAAAGAAATCACCTTGAAGAAAAGTGAAATAATTTGTTTTAAGATTTAAAAGCAGCAAGTATGCCTGAATTTACAATAGGAGTTGGTTCCATATTTTAGAGAGCAAAGTAATTGAAAGTGGATGGGACTTTTATTCTGCAGCTGAGTTTCTCATAAAATTTAATATTCAGAGGTAAAAAGAATGCTGTTTTTTTTTTTTTTTGTCACAAGATTTTGTCTGGTGTGTCTTACAAACTTAACGGTGCCTCATAAAATTGTAGGGAAAATATTTAAATAAAATTTAGATTTTTAATCTTTTTACTTGTAGACACTGAAAATGTGGTCTTGTTATAGTATTTGAAATGGTGATGACAAATTGAGGGGATTTAAACTGAATATTGAGGCTCATCCTCTAACTGCAAAGGATTTCCCCACCTTGGGTTACAGGGTAGTGATATCTGAGGGACACTGAAAAACATTCAAAAAGTAGATTTTTCTTTACTTACTATATAGCATTGTTTATCCCCTTTCAAACCCAGACAGACAGGATCTAATTTTGTATAGGGAGACAAAGCATCGAAAACCGAGCCCTGGGTTAAAACACTTGTTCTCAAGTTATTTTTTAGGATAAGAAAAAAAAATAAAAATAAATAACCCTACCTTAACAGAATATACGTAATGAGTAGAGTATAATTTTACATCACAAAAGCTTTCTTTTCAATAGGATTTTTTTTTTTATCAAACTTCTTATTTAATGCTTTCTCTCTGGAAGTGTTTTGTTATTCTTTTCTTGTTTTTCTTATAAAAACGCCATGGAACAGAGAATTAACAGTACCTACACAAAAGGAATTTAAATTACATTTTGAAAGAAATTTCTATAGCTTTGTCATCAAATATCAGTATATGCAGTAGCAGCCATTTAAAAGGCCCTTTCCAGTCAAACACCAGCCGAATGACCCCCCATGTTATTTTACATGCATGCCCAGGACTGACTCCACCCTTTCACTGAGTTACAGGGTCTGACCAGGAGATAATGCTTCTCTTTAGATCTTAATGTTCACAAATCATGACAGAAAGAATATTTTAAGTACAAACACTGATGTTTGAAAAAGGAATCGTAGGGGACCACCCAAGGGCCCATCAAGGAAAGTGAGGAAATTTTGAATGGCTACTACTGTATGACTCAGCCTTAAAAACTTTAAACATCAGTTGAGCTGGGATTTTATGTAGTTTCCATTTCTAAAATATTTTTCAGATAAATCTTTTCAACTTCATTTTTTTCCTTTTATTTTATTTATTAATCCAAATCTTCAAATATATCCATAATAAATATACATAACTTTAGATCTGAAATCTTACTAAAGGTATTAGATCTACCTTTAAATTGAAGTTTAGGAAATAATGTATAGTTACCACAAAACTTGGTGACCCACAAATGCAGCCCTTTGTTGGAGGTTTATAAATACTACACAAGAACAGAGAAATAGTTCTTCCCTAGTTGGCAAGAACAAGAGAAAATGTTATCTTGCCTCCGAGTGCTTCTACTTAGTAAGAAGCTCAGCTGTCAAATTCATGGAACTCATAAATAACTATGGATATCTGTGCCTGAGGTAATGATGGAAGTTAAAACCTGAAAATGAAAAGGGAAAACTCATTCCTCTGCCCACTAAACAAAGCTCATTCAAGCTCTGACCAATTGCACAACTTTATAAGGACTGGCTTTTTATTATTTCTGATTTTTTTTATTATTAATGGCTTCAAATAACATTTTGGTTTATCATAACTTAGTGTAGGATTTCTTTTGGCATATTCTCTAAGGAATGCTCTCCTGTTTAGGTTCAGACGGTGCAGCTCCTCGATTGCATCTTTTGGCTCTATGCTTATTCCATCCGCTCTGTGACACTTGCCCCGTTACTGAAATCGAATCCATATAAGCAACTCACAAAGTGAATGATTTCCATCCCCCCCAGTCCCCAATCTGCTAACTGTTACCCTCTATTCACCAGTGCTGCTAGCTGGGTCAGTTAAAGTTTGTATTTACTCTGACATAGAACTTGGAAACTTTGTGACACAAGCTCCCAGGTTACATTAATAAACAAAATAATTAAATGTGTATGTGTACCACATATAGACTGACAGTCTGCCAGTTAATAAACCGGCAGCCATCCTATTTCTCAACAATACAACATCGTGATGCCACATTTCAACATTATGATGTGGTTCTAAATCCTGCAGGACTATGTGTCTACAGACATAAATAGGTATACATGCCAAAATATATTCCTGACATGATGCGTTCACTTATTGCATATGATAATGGATCATTTTAGCTGTCCGTCTGTCACTTGGCATCATTCCTTATGAGAAAAACTCCTTGGAGCTCAAATTAAATAAATCTGGGCCTGATTTCCCTGCAATTAATCACACTTAGAACTTACCGCCAAATAATGAAGTTGACATGCATCATTTAACTGCCGGTGGCAATTCCACATGTTGTTTTTCCCCATCACAACTAATGATCAGAATTATGGAAAAAAAAATAAATAAAAAAAATCCAATCCAATGATTACATTAATTAGCAGCATGAATGTTCTCAAAAAAAAAAAAAACAACTTAAAACTTGCAATAATTTAACCAGGCCTTTCTCTTTAGTGAAAGTGCAGAGTACATACAAAATATAAACATATTTCCTGAAAAAGATGTTCATTACTTTTTTTCATATACTTGTATATAAATGCCTTTATTGGTAGCTAAAGGGAACCCAAGTCATACTCCTAGTTCTAATTTAAAAGAAATGGGTGCTTGACGGGAGCTTGTTTCAGAGTGGAGAGATTAAACAATCTCCCTCCAATCAGAGACGTCTGGACAGATTTAAGCAAAACTATTTAAATTGCCCTTTAGGTGTAAAATATTGTTGCCTTCCCTTTGGGGAATGGCAGCCTAGTGGTCAGTGCATTGCACTTGGAATCCTGAGGTGTTGAGTTCAAACCCCACTCCCATGGACTGCCACTCTGGCCCCGAGCAAGACCTACACATGCTCCCCGGGCGCAGCACAATGGCAGCCCACTGCTTCCCAAGGGGATGGGTTAAATGCAGAGAGTTCATTGTGTTGCTCTGTACTTGTGACAGTGTAATGACAGTAAAATCCCGGAAATATTTGCTGCACAACTGCTGTCGCTCTGCTCAAACCTCTGAACAGGTACGAACCTGCGCTCACTCAACCAACAAGATTACTTGGACTTCAGCTAACCATTCTGTCCCCCTCTGCAGTGAAAATCAGTCGTGACCAGTCCTGGACCAGATTTTCCCCAGAATCAGTTCTGTGTTTCAACCTGTGTTTCTCAATAAACCTTTGAACTTTTTCCCCTGTCTCAAAGTGTGTTCTGCATTTGGGCTAGAATCACAACCCATCATGACAATGTTCTGCTTTAAAAATATTTTGAATTTTATTTTGTGGTATTAACAGTTAAATATTTAGATTTTTTTCCATACTTGAAGTTACATTAAAATTAATCTTTCTACTTTGAATTAAAATAAATTGCTGTCAGAAGTTTTTACACTAGAAGCATTCCCTGATACCA